ACTTAAGTTAGACCAGGTAACTAACTGATTATCGTCCCAGTTGTAGACAGTCCAGGACTTAAGTTAGACCAGGTAACTAACTGATTATCGTCCCAGTTGTAGACAGTCCAGGACTTAAGTTAGACCAGGTAACTAACTGATTATCGTCCCAGTTGTAGACAGTCCAGGACTTAAGTTAGACAGGTAATTAGTTATAATAAAGAATGAATATATAGATCTCTGTGAATAGAGTGAAGTTATGTACTGACAAGAAGGCTGACCTTTTGAAAATATTATAAATAACGACATCTTTATTTGTTAATAGTTTTAAACATTCTTCTGTATAAACTTAACTTATTCTTTTTTTCTCCAAATAATTATTTATAATTTTGATTTAGAAGCTTTAACGAAATGTGCATTTCAATATTAATCATATCGATGCAATGAAGGAAACACTGTGGAAAAACGACACTTCTTACTCTTTACCACACATACATAACAAAGTGCTATCTTCACTAAAATTTCAATACTGTGAACTATATAATTTTATGGAAAAAAAAAGAAATAAAAACGGTATCTTAATTCAACGTGATAAAATATTTTAAGTGGTGGCAGATAGTTTATCCTCTGTTTCTAAGTTTTGTGTAAGGGATACAAATACGAAACCACATTTGTCTACGCGCATTTTATGAGAAACATTTAAAAAAATCAATCTCTTTTTCAAGCTGATTTTAGAGAGACTCATTTGTTTTTCCTCAGTTTACAAGACTCGTAGAACTATTGCAAGAGATGTTGGATCATGTAAGCAAAAGCCAGAAAAATAAGATAAAACTAGAGAAACTTACAGCGCCCTCTATAGAAGAGTAAGTTTTCTGGTTCAATATAGCAAATATAAGTCGTTTTTAAATAGTTGAGAATTTTTCTGTTTTTAAGCTTTACTGTCATTGTGTTGAAAGTAGTTGAGAATGTTTCTGTTCTTAAGCCTTACTGCCATTATTTTTAAAGTAGTTGAGAGTGCTTCTGTTCTTAAGCTTTACTGCCGTCGTTTTAAAGTAGTTAAGAGTGTTTCTGTTCTTAAGCCTTACTGCCATCGTTTTAAAGTAGTTAAGAGTGCTTCTGTTCTTAAGCCTTACTGCCGTCGTTTTTATAGTAGTTGAGAGTGTTTCTGTTCTTAAGCCTTACTGCCATCGTTGTAAAGTAGTTGAGAGTTCTTCTGTTCTTAAGCCTTACTGCCGTCGTTTTTATAGTAGTTGAGAGTGTTTCTGTTCTTAAGCCTTACTGCCATCGTTTTAAAGTAGTTGAGAGTGTTTTTGTTCTTAAGCCTTACTGCTATCGTTTTAAAGTAGTTGAGAATGTTTCTGTTCTTAAGCCTTGCTGCCATCGTGTTGAAAGTAGTTGAGAATGTTTTTGTTCTTAAGCCTTACTGCCATCGTTGTAAAGTAGTTGAGAGTTCTTCTGTTCTTAAGCCTTACTGCCGTCGTTTTTATAGTAGTTGAGAGTGTTTCTGTTCTTAAGCCTTACTGCTATCGTTTTAAAGTAGTTGAGAGTGCTTCTATTCTTAAGCCTTACTGCCATTGTATTGAAAGTATTTGAGAGTGTTTCTGTTCTTAAGCCTTACTGCCATCGTTTTTAAAGTAGCTAAGAGTGTTCCTGTTCTTAAGCCTTACTGCTATCGTTTTAAAGTAGTTGAGAGTGCTTCTGTTCTTAAGTCTTACTGCCATTGTATTGAAAGTATTTGAGAGTGTTTCTGTTCTTAAGCCTTACTGCCATCGTTTTTAAAGTAGCTAAGAGTGTTCCTGTTCTTAAGCCTTACTGCCATCGTTTCAAAGTAGTTGAGAGACATGAGAAACGTCTGGGAAAGGTCTTGTCTTTTTTAAGTTAAGTTTATCGTTGTCGTCATTGGTTGTACATATATATATATCGCGGTTTAAATTAGTTGAACTTTATGTGGGTCAGGAGACAAAGTGCATTACAGAAAATAAAACGGAACGCGACCTGAAACGTTTGAGAAACACTGCTGTAAAGAGTCAAGGGTTACGTAATAGCTAATGAGACGGAATTATAAGCTTACTAATTTAAGTCTTTTGTATTACTCTCATTGTTGGATTAAACTAAAAATAAGATTACCCACAATAAGCTTTTTACACTTTACTCTCTATAAGAATCAAATTAAAATTATTTGTAATACATAGAACTCCATCGAACCATCTAGTCGAACAGAACACCGGTTATCCCCAACGTCCCCCTTCTCTACGACTAGACTCCAGACGAACCTCCATAAGTCTGGAAGACGTAATCCAAGAAACGTCTACCAATTCAAGTGAGTAAATACATTAATAAACTTTATAATTTTGCTTTCAGTGACTTATAGCCACAGTTGTCTGATTAGGCATTCTTCACTACCATACGTCCCTCGGTAAAACAGACGTGTAACAATGAGTTAGTGTATAAATTATTTACATCACTAACAATACCTCAACTGGCCCTGATTAGGCTGTCTTCAGTAACATACGTCCCTCGGTAAAACAGTCGTGTAACAATGAGTTAGTGTAAA